CTGTGTCATATTCACTGTGTAATCCACAGCCAGCAAGGGCCTGAGAGGAGAAAGGGGGATCAAGAGCCATCATTTTAAGTCAAGCCTCCCATTTTTTAAAAGGCTTCGGGTCTACTTCCAAATGTTTTATCCCATTTGAACAGATTGTTGTATTGTAAAAATCATTCTGGTAGCCTCGAATATTTAAAGTCTACAGCAAGGGACCACATACTTATTTTTTGAAGATTTATTTATTTATTCATACCAAACTGGGGTACAGGCCAGAGGTGCAGGGAAGGTGAGAGGATTCACCAGACAGAGTGGGGAGCTCAACAGGCAGATCATCAAAGTACACTGCTGAGGGGAGCAGCGGGCCGGTCAGGAGAGGTCTGCTACGCCATGTGGTCACCTTCAGGGCAGGGATCGAACTCAAGCTGAAGTGGCTTTAGCTTCTAAGTGCTGTGCTTTAACCCACTGTGCCACCAGGGAGGGACCATATACTTTTGAGGTGAAGGACTAGACAGGAAATATTTTAGATTTTATGGGCCGTATAGCATCGATTGAACTGGGGGCTTGTACCTCCAAAGCAACTGCAAGCAGTATACAGAGGAAGGGCTGGTGCCCATCTATGAGTTAGTTATGCGTATTCGTGTGTGAGGACCCCATAGAGCTCACGATACAAGAAGAAGACACCCCTAGGCAATCACTGAGAAAGAGGTGGCTCTTCTGTGCAGGAAATGGAGCCAGCAGTGGAGCAAAAGTCTCCTTTCCCCCCTGCAAGCACCCTCCCCCAGTACACAAACAAAATGGAACCCTTCACGTGCGGGAGCATGGCAAGCTGCTTAAAGATGGCGCCTGTCTCCTCGAGCTGAAAGAGTCCCTGGCAGTGGCCTTTTTCTTGGGGAATCCAGGGAGAGGCACAGGAAATCATGCTTTGCCAGTCACAGCGTGCTGACTGACGGCATCCTATTATTATTTTCTTGTTCCCTCCAGCTTTTATTATTTATCAAGTCAAATTAATAAATAAATATACCCCAACCTTGTGTCAGCAAGGCTCCTGGAAACAAAGGAAGGCCTTTGTAGTCCTTTCACGCCTATTAAAGAAGGCTGGGTTCTTCCACTAAGGAGGCAGTAAGGAATAATAGTGCATGGAGAAAATGGGCACCCCAGGGTTGAAATCTTACAGGGCAAAGTCCAGTATGCATGCCCCATCACGAGAGAGTCCAAATCCCCCTTGGGCGATCTAATTTTGGTTTGCATTGGTGCGCATCCCTTCAGCATGAATCCAAACAGCTCTCCCGAAAACTTGCTTCTTCTAGGAGCTCTCCCTTAGAGAGGGATTGGAGCCTTCCTTAGAGAAGGTCTGGATGGTTGCTTTATTTTTTCTTTTCTTTTCTTAGCTCATTAGCTCTTAATGTCACCATTTGATTGGCAATAAATTCTGCAGTAACTCACTACCTCTCTTGAATGGAATTGCTAACTGTTGTTTTCTCTGGTGAGATTCTTTGACTAGTTTTCTTGTCCCTTCAGAGAACCAGAAATATGCTGTATTGTATTCCTGAAACAATGGTTAAGGATTCTTTTAACCAACCCTAATAATAGCCATATGACAAAAAAAAAAAAAAAAAAAAAACTGGAGCAATAATTATTCAATGTATATATGAATAAAATTTTCATTTTATCATTAAGGTGGATTTAAAATAATTTATGTCAATAATTACAGGGATTAAAGTTAGTCAAATCCTTGGATACCACAATCATTCTCACTATTTTGTTTAGTGGCTCATCATTATTTTTTTTTTAAGAACTAGGTAAATTTTTTGTTTTTATAATTTACCAATAAAAACTCAAGTGTAGTTTTATTTCATTTATTATTGGTAAAGAATTTTCTTTGAAGGAAAAAAAAGCTAGAGAAAATACACAATATGTGTCTACTAAAGGTTTCAATTTTTAAACTTTGAATCAGTCACAAAATATTCATTTTACTATTCCCAACTATCTACCCCATGTAAATGGACTATGATGAAAATGCCTGCTTACTTACATTGTAATTTATCGTAGAAATACAAAAACTGCTAATCTGTCGCTAATCTATCGGTTTGGCTTGTTTTTATTTTGTTAGCAAACTGGGAAATCAGCAAGCTAGTGGCTATTGAGCCCAATGGAAAATGTATTTGAACACCTTTGTTGATATACATTTTAACTTCAAATTCATTTGAAACTCTACAATGAAATTTTATTTCAGGATTTGTTTTCACTGTTTCCTCTGTTCTTTTAAATTTCAGAGGGCACAGGAAAACTCTTGAGAGAGATTTGATTTACCAGGGAATCAATTGTATAAGAAAGTACTTAAATATACAGGTGGTAACTTGGGCTGTGTTATTAAAGGACGGTAAAAAGGAATCATTTTTATTTTCAAATGGCTAGTTAAAATAAAGCATTTATAAATTAATACCTAAAATAGCAATTTGACATTTACTCTTCACAAATATCAATGTGTATACTTTTCCCCAATCAAATTAAACTTTGGATTTTTTTTTTAAAAAACAGGTGTCTTGAAATTTTAAGCGATCCTCCAAGAAAACATGATGGTAAGTTATTTATTTTTCAGTTGATGGGAAAATGTCAATAGGTTGCTAATAATTTTAGAACAGTAGTTGATTCTACAAAGTCGTCCAAATTAATCAAAATACATTTTTACCTTTTTTGGATTACAAGTGTATTTTCTTTGCATCATATCATTTAACTTGCATCATTTTTAGTGATCTCTATAAAGAACTTACACTCTCCTTTTTAACTGTTGAAACGCTTACATTTTAATAATTTTATTATGGAAAGAATCTAGGATGTCTATATTCAAACAGAATGAAAAACAAAACATGATAGGTCTTTTGTTAATAACTTACAGGGCATTACTTTTGAAAATCACTCATTGCACTGATTTATGAAACAGTACCAGTACTGAGAAGTACCAGTGATGCCTTCAGGAGGACTGGATACTTCAGACCTGGCTTAGCTGCTCAAGCTGTGTCCTCCCTGCCATCAGCTTTCTATTTGGACAGCTTTCTGTACTGATTCTGAAATTCCACCTTATAGAGCCTGAGATTGGCTCTAGTTGCTGGGGTTGCATGAGGACCACTTGATTTGGGGTATTTACTACTCAGAGTCCTTGTCATTTACTTCTAGGTTCCAGGTTTGGCTTATAGTTTATAACCTTTTGGGGACAGTTTACATGGAAGGAATTAGCAAACTTTCCTGATCCTGAAATCTACTCCCAGCTCCCCTCATCTTTCATCTGTTCTTCAAATTTCCTCCTACAGAATTCTAGAACAGCAGCTCACAGTGATAGGTGCTTATGCTCTTATAATTATCTAAACCCTTTACACATATCATACATTTCATTTTAAAACTTCAAGTTTATTTACAATTTCCAAATAAGGAATGGGAGGCACAAGTGACTTGCTCAGGGACACATAGCTAAGGGAAAAGAACCTGTGAGAGGGGCCTCAGATAAAATGAAAGGCAGGACTGAAGATTTCAGAACTCAGTACAGAAACTGCTAAAAAAGATAGTCAAAGGACAACCATCTTAAGGAGAAAGCACCATATGTGGTCAACATCTTTTGGAGACATAACTCCCCTTAGGGTGGGGGGCCTAGATGTTGGAACCTGAGATTTAACACTGGTGAAAAAGCAAGGAAAGTGGAAGGGACGGGGAAGGTGGGCAGTTTTTTGGCTGGACAATGACCATTGCAAGGTTAGGGAAGTGACCGTGAGCAAAGAGGAATGTAAAGGGCCAACTAAGAGCTCCTCCAAGCTCGCAGGTTACTTTATGAAGCCCAGAAATTAGCTTTCTGTCCTTATCTTCTCTTTTTCACATGGCAAACGATACCCAACTAGATGACTAAGAAAATGAAGAAACCAGCTCCTGGACTGAAAAAAATGAGACATGAGAAAGGATGAACCTAAAGGTACGCTGGGTATATAGGGGGAAAAAAAGCATCCCCTGATTTTCTGGGTGGATTTGCACTAAGTGCAGAGGAGACAAACATGGCTACAGCGGGGGTGGGGGAGCGTGTTAAAGTGATTGAGGATTTTGGGAGGTTTAATGATACCCAGTAAAAATGCATGGATTTCTGAGTAGAGAAGGAATTTTAATAAATGTCTACGTGCATGTAGTGTCCAACCCCAACCCCAAAGGAGGGTTTTTTTTTTTTTTTTTTCCTAAAAGGCTACTCCTGGAGGCTGCAATGCCTAAATTGAATTTGCCCCAGAGGGTAGAAAATCTATGTGCCTGAGAGGCAGTAAGGCTGAAATTACAGATTTGAACGTTATTTGGAGCCAGTTCCTAGAAATCTTGGGAACAAATGAACACCAGCGCAGGAGAGGGTATAGGCTCAGGGAGGTGTCCAGTCTTTGAAATTTTGTCCAAGTTGAGACCCAAACACCAACATCAGGTGTTATTTACCGATTAAAGTGCAGAGACTCTTTAACTCAAGCTTTCAACTTCATTCTCATAGTGAGAAAGAAACAACTAAGTGTGTTCCTGCTGAAGTCTGCCCTTTGGATTTTGGAGAATGGCCTCGTGGGGGGAAGGGAGCTAGAGGACCCCACGGGGTGTTCTGCACCTCCTCCAAGCTTTGTGCTAGTCGGCGTGGTCTTCACCTCGGGAGCTCAGCTTCCTCGGTGCAGCGTGCTCCAGCAGCTCCAGCTAGGTACCTCCAGGAACACCGGGTCTTACCATCCCCCAGCGACTCTGCACTCCTTGGTGTGCTCGCAGCGGTTTTGCAGCAAAAGCCCTAGGTGCTTGCAGCGGTGCAAACTTGCACGCTGCTGGAGTGCCCACACTAGAGTTGGGGATCGGTGGGCGTGTCCGAGCGCTCTGCAGCCCTCTCCCGCCTAGTGTGTCCCGGGAACGTTCTGAAAAGTATCCAAAATTTCTGCGTCGCGCGCGCGCCAAAAGAGAAAAAGGCACAACCCCCCACTACTCTGGGCGTTGCGTGTCTGGACTTTGCCACTCGCGCAGCACCTCGCTGCAGCGCACACGCCTTCTGCGCCTTCTCCCTCGGAGCTTTCGCCGTCGGTTGGGCACCTTCCTGGTCGCCCTCTCCAGACCGGAGAGGCGACCTGAAGAGTTCCTGCTCGTCTCTTTGGGGCGTCATGCCAAACGACGACGCATTCAGCAAGCCTTCGGCCCCGTCGGAGGCCCAGCACGCCCCCGGGGCACCGCCGCAGGGCAAGGCCGGGGGCTTCGGTAAAACAGCCGGGGCGCTGCTGCCGACCTCCGGCGGCACAGGGGCCGGGGGCAGCGGCGGCGGCGGCGGCTCCGGGGCGTCGGGCATGGGCGCCGCGAGCAAGAAGTCCCCGCGGCTGCCCAAGTGCGCACGTTGCCGGAACCACGGCTACGCTTCGCCCCTCAAGGGCCACAAGCGCTTCTGCATGTGGCGGGACTGCCAGTGCAAGAAGTGCAACCTCATTGCCGAGAGACAGCGTGTGATGGCCGCGCAGGTGAGTAGGGGCGCCCGGGAACGGGATTCAATCCCTACATTTTGGGATAGACTCCTCTTGTACGGCCAGAAGTACGCGGGGTTCGAGCACGCGGGGTCGGGTTTGGGAGGAAAGCGGCAGTGGCATCAGCCCACTGCGGGGGCGCGCTTGGAGTTGGGGGTCCCTAACCACGTGGCAACTCCACGCTCAGAGAGCCTAGACGTGCCTCCCACCCCGCCCGCGCGTAAGTTTGGAGGTGCTGGGTTTGCTCTGCTCCAGTAAGGCTGCGGAGTTTAGCCGTCTGGGGTTTCCCAGGATCAGCTTTTAGAGCTGAGAATAGCGGAATTCGCTCCGCACTGGACGCGCGCCCTCAAACAAGGAATTGCTGCGTTCCCTCTGCGGAGGAAGGGTCTCCTTATTCGCCAACCCTGACCGTAGCGGAGTTGCGGGGTTCGTCTTGTATTGTCCCTAGAATCTCTCCAGTTCCCCCCAGCAAAGGAGTGCCGGGCTCGCCCTTCGTGGGTCTCCGGCAGCTCTAACTAGAGAGTTGGGGGGTTGCCCCCCACCTAGGGCATCTTCGGGACCGTTTACCCCTCCCCCCTTACACCCACCGTTATTTGCGCTTAAATTGGGGAGTGTGTTCGCGAGACTTCTTGGTGGGGTGAAATGGCGACCCGGGCCCGTTGCTCTTTATCCGGATAACATGTCGGGAAGCTTTGTTTTTCTGGAAAATTCTCTGTAATGGACGCTGGCTTGGCGCGGTGCGGCGTGGTCGTCGGTGCTCTTGGCGCACTTTTTGAATTCGCCCCCCGAGGATCCCCGCTGAGCGCCTCGGCCATTTTGAGCGCTGCGGAGATTCAGCATTTCAACATTGGCGCTTCGGTAGATTACCTTGCACGTATTTTAAAACACGTTTAAGAGGTTTTAAAAATACGAGCAAGGGGAAAGCGCGGATTGAGACTCTGCAGGTGCTGCTTAAAGCCTTTTAAAGCAGGATGGGTAGTGCTTAGCTTCTTAACAGAAATAGCTGACCTTGTTGGTATCCTAAACGGAGTTTTAGAAGAGACTGTATGTCTTTTCCAGCTAAAAGTGCTTTTATCTTTTTAAGACTTTATTTAAAATGAAAAGATACCAAAGAAACGTTAACTCACGATCAGCTGCTTGTGACGAGGAACGTGAAATATCTTCCAAAAAAAAAATGATTTAGATAAGAACGTTGAAGACGACCGCGCACCTGCTTAATGAGTGTATAATTTTATGTGCATAACACTTTTTAAAAAGTGCTTTAAACTAGATTTATTTTGATTTAACAGATTACAAGGTCAGGGACCCGTAGGTTGTTTCTCTTAATTTCTTTATAGATGTTTAGTTTCATGTATATTCGACAAAAAACATAACGGATAGTAGTGTATTCAAATGCATTAAGTGCATCGCAGTGAGTTTAATGAAAAAATTTAGGACATTTAAATTTTATGTGTAAGTAAAAGAATGTTCTGCGCTTTGTTGGCTTAAATATTTAGTGTGATGAATGTGGGGATTTCCTTAAAATGTAATAAAAATACTTATCCAAGTAGAGCTATTACTTTTAAATAAGTTTAATTAGTAGGAACACTCACATGAACAAGGCTATTATTTGCTGTGTTAAAAACAAAAGGACTTCAGGATCACATTTATAATATGGGAATGCCTTTTCCCATCAGAAGGTTTTGTGCTAATGTCAGATTATCTCTGAAATCCATGTAACAACTATTTTTCAGTCATCCTAGAATAGTTTGATATTTTTTCGAAGTTTCTGACTCCCCTAGTGAGTAAAATTATGCTCACATTTATCAATTCTGGACTGTAATTTTCTTAAAACAATAAAATTGTACTTGTGTTCCTGGTTTGCTATTTTGATGTCAGCTTTAGTGCCTCAGGTGTATTTCACTTTCTCATTTCTTTATAACTAGTAGTCAGTTTCAACAGAAAGTCTCCTTTTTTGTTACATGTGGTAAGCAGAAGTACAATTTATTTTCTTTACACCTCTTTTTCAATTTTTAACAATGTTATTTAGAAGCAAATCAGTTGAAGAGGGACCACTAGGAGTTACTTTAAAGTATTAGATCCCTTTCTTCCCTCATCGCCACCTCTCCCTTCTCCAGGAAGGAAATCAACAAATATCAACCTTTATTTAGAACCCATTATTTCTCCTCTGCACTCCACATACCCCTTCTACTCCAGAAATTCCTAAGCAAGCAGCCCCTGCCTTTTCTGGCCCTTCATTTTCGCCCCTCTAAGATCTGTAATCCTATTCTTAATTTCAGTACCACCTCTGGCTGATTCCACAGCTTAAAGCCTTTCTGTCTGTGAATCCCTTCTGTAGAATGGCATATATCTCTCACTGCATTTTATCTTGCAGTGAATTAACTGTTGGTAAGTACCTTGGGATCCAATCTTCCTGTGTCATGTTGGTTGCTATTCCCAGTGCCATGGCTTTTTCACACAATTTTGGAACAAAGGAGAGATCTCATTCTCCTTCCTTTGTAATCTGTCAGTACTGACTTTTACTCTTCAGGTTGAACTTCTCTAGCCTGGCTGGCTGAATAGATTTTTCTTTTTAAGATTGATTTGTTTACGCATACAAGAACTGGGACAAAACAGGCCAGAGGTGTAGGGGGTGAGAGGCTTCACCAGAGACAGAGGGGGAGCAGAACAGGCAACTGACCAAAACGCACTGCTTGTGGGAGCAGCAGGCTGGCAAAACAGGAGAGGTCTGCTGTGTGGGTCACCAACCTGGTGGGGATCAGACTCACCTGCAGTGGCTGCCGGATAGCTTCACAGAGCTGTTTAACCCTTTGTGCCACCAGGGAGGGCCCTGAATATATTTTTCTGATCCTTCCCAGCCAACTTTATTTCCCACTACTCTGTGCACTTAGCTGTTTAGTGAACATTTTTTTAAAGATATAATTTATTTATTCATACAGAACTGGGGTATAAGCCAGAGGTGCAGGGGTGGTGAGAGGCTTTACCAGAGACAGGTGGGGAGCAGGACAGATTGATGAAGTACACTGCTGAGGGGAGCAGCAGATGGGTCAGGAGTGGTTGGCAGTGCCATGTGGCTCACCTCCAGGGCTGGGAATCAAACTAGTACTGAAGCAGCTGCGGCCAGCTTGCAGTGTTGCATCCTAACCCGCTGTGCCACCAGGAAGGGCTCTAATGAAAGTTTTAAAAATACCAATTATGGACCAGATACTTTAGCTCTAAACCATTTCTCTGTTTTGGCTGTATATCATGGGTAACTTGCAAAAGAAATTGAGATTCTCAGCCCCATCTTTGGAGCTAATGAATCTTGATGTCTTCATTAGCTTGGGCAAAGTGGCACAAGTGATTCTGGATTGCTGGAGAGTGACCCTCTTCTGTGTGCTTCCAGGTGGCTCTGAGAAGGCAGCAAGCCCAGGAAGAAGAATTGGGGATCAGCCACCCCATTCCACTACCCAGTGCGGCTGAGCTGCTAGTCAAGAGAGAGAACAATGGCAGCAACCCGTGCCTGATGACTGAGACTAGCGGCTCCACTCAGCCCCCTCCGGCCAGTACTCCTACCACTGCTGCTTCAGGTAACCTGGAGGTCTGGGGTTCATGTGGCCAGATGGGAGGGAAAAAGAAGCCACACTTTCAGGACTTTCCTGAGACACATAGCACAGAGTTTAGAGAGGTTTTTTTTTTTTTTTTTTTAAGCATCCTTGTTGTGAAGGTCTGTTTTGGCCTTCAGAGATGGCCTTCCATTCTAGAATTGGAAGTTTGAAAACTTCACTTGATTAGTCAAGACTCAATAGGGACAGTCAGAACCACAGAATTTCAATGGAATGAGAATCCAGATTTTGTCTCAGTCCACCCCTTTGTTTTGGGTCATCTTGGTGTAGGGGCTAAAGGTTCTCTTTCCTAGAACTGAAAGCCCATTTTCTGTGGCTAGAATGGCAGATTATTTGGGAAAAGTGTCTGTAAAGCCCCCTGCCTCTAGGAAGTTTGATTGTGCCCTAGGAAGACAGGGGCAGCATGTTCCATTGGCTTAAGTTTCCAACTTGTGTTAGGAATACCAGGGTGTATATATGCTAACTTGTTAGTTTTATTCTCAGAGTAATTCCATAAGGTAGGAAAGGTTTTTTTTTTTTAAGATTTATTTATTTATGTATACAATGCAAATAGAACTGGGGAGTGGGGGGGGAGGGGAGAGTGAGAGGACTCACCAGAAACAGAGTGGGGAGCAGAACAAGCAGACTAACTGAAATACAGTGCTGAGGGGAGCAATGGGCCAGACTGGAGAGGTCTGCTGCACCATGTGAGTCACCGCCTTGGCGGGGAATGGAACTTGTACTGCAGTGGCTGCTTCATTTAGCTGTGCTTTTATAAACCCAGGCACCACCAGGGAGGGCCCAAGGTAAGAGATTTTTTATGCTATTTTACACATGCTGAGATGGAACAAATTTAAGTGACATCCAAGGAAGGATCTGAATGTACCTGCTCTCAAAGTGTCGGTGCTTACTGAACTGGATACAAGCTGCCTCAGGAATACTAGGGGTCTAGCACTGCATTGACCAACATGGAAGCCCCCAGCTACATGTCTTTATTTTAATTTAAATTTATCATTAAAATAAAATAAAGGCATTCAGCCAAAGAAGATATGTAAACCACAGTAAGTACATGAAAAGCTACTCAAAATCACTGATCACTAGGGAAATGCAAATCAAAACTATAATGAAATATTACTGTATACTATGAAAATAGCTACTGTTAGAAAAAAACAAAAAATAAAAAGTATTGGTGCAGAGAATTTGTGTACTCTTGTTTTGAATATAAAATGGAGCAGCTGCTTTGGAAAAACGGTATGGTTCCTCAAAAAGTTAAAAATAGAATTATCCTATTTTCCAACAATTTCACTTTTGGATATTTACCTCCTAAAATTGAAAACAGGGTTTTTGAGAAAAATTTTTTTTATGTCCATGCTCATAGCATCATTATTTACTATAGCTAAAATGTGGGTGTCATCCAAGTGTCTGTGGATAGATGAATAGAAAACAAAATGTGGCTTTATTTATGTGTGTGTGTGTGTGTGTGTGTGTACACAAGAATATTATTCAGCCTTATAAAAGGAATGGATGTCTGACACATGCTACAATATGATGGCCCTTGAAGCTATTATGCTAAAAGGCTAGGATTGTAGCATCCATTTACATGATGAGGTTCTAGTCAGAATCACGGAAAGTAAAGTGGTGGTTGAATATGAGAGGGGGAGGGCTGTTGCTTAGTGAGCAGAGTTTAATTTCTTTTTTTAAAAAAAGATTTATTTATTTATGCATACAGAACTGCAGTACTGGCCAGAGGCTCAGGGGCAGTGAGACGCAAAGCGGGGAGCAGAACAGGCAGATCAGCAAAGTACACTGCTGAGGGGAGCAACGGGAGGTCAGGAGAGGTCTGCCGTGCCATGTGGGTCACCTCCCTGAAGCGGCTGTGGCAAGCTTCGCAGTGCTGCTTTAACCAGGGTTTCAGTCTGAGATTTTAGTCTCTGTCAAAAGCATCAGACTAGTAAGGGTTGATGGTGGAGAGAGCTGGGGGGCTGAGATGAGGATGGGTGGTATGTCGGAGAGATAAAGAAGGGAATAACTGTTTGATGTTCGCAGACATTTTAGTAATAAGCTATAGAAAGGACCCAAAAAAGTATACTCTTCACAAACATTTTAGGAGATAGAATTTATACACAGATGGGGAAGCCAGGTATTAGGAAATGGTAAAAAAAACTGCCCTAGAATGAAGTTGGTGAAAGTGGAATTTAATCTAGGCCTCTTTAGCCTTAAAGTTCATGAATTTTCCATTTTACCAGACTATGAAGAGAAACTGGGGTACCGTCGATAGGGTTCGCTGCAAAGAGAAGCAGCAGGAGAACACAATACAAGGCTTGGCGTCAAGGAGGATGTGATCAGAGACCTTCCGTTTTGCCTGTGCAGCTGACAGACCTCAGAGTCACTTTGGGGTCTTGAACCAAGATTCAAAGGTAGAAGCCAGCAGTGTGCTCTGCTCAGGTGTGGGTAGGGAGGTGTCACCCTGGAAGTTTATACTGCCAAAGGACGCACATGCTCCTGCATTGAGATTGATGAATTCTGTGTGAAGGTGGAAGCCACAGGGAAACAAAAATTCCAGTGGCATTAAGCTCCATAAAGGTATAGAAGGAGAAAAGGGAGAAAAGGAAGGAGAGTCTAATCAAAGAGAGAAAACCAGAGAGACAGATGAGATGAGAAGTCTTTCAAGTCTCATGTAGTACTTGGGGTCCAATGTCCCTAGAAAGTTTTATTGCTAAAAAATAAATAGCTTATATTTATTTCCCAGAGATAAAATCTATTTAAAATAGTGCTTATGCAGGCAGATGACAAACATTTATAGAGCTCAAAAGTATATTCAACAAAAGGTAATTATTCTTCCACTCAGACTGCAGTCAAGGCAAGTTTACTGCAGGTACAAGCTAGTGTGTTTATCAGCTTTTTCCCTCTTATTTGAAATAGTTTAAGAATTTTTGTGGTCTTATTTTATGTCTATACAAGGCTAGAATGTGAACGTAATTGGCAAGAGCTCAGTGTTGTCGTGTCATGATAAAACCTACCAGCCTGGCTCCCACAGCAGCAAGTTGCCAACCTTCTCGATACCTAATGTTTAGTGTCCACCCGGGCAGTGACTTGATGACAGTCAATACATTTCTGTGTCCTTGAGGTTTCTTACTTATCTCCTCTTGGCGCCTGAAAGTGCCAAAATTGAGAGTGAGAAATCCCCAAGAATTACTGCTGAGATTATTGACTCAATTCTAAGGATGCTGTGAAGGAAGTTGGATTTACCAAGCTGTTTAATTGGAGAACTGATGCCTCTGAGTCACATAAGGTACGTTAGAAGAAAGTGTCTAATCTATGACCAGAGATCAGCTCAGATTGACCAAAACACTTGTCAAAGACTCTGAATAATGGGGCAAAATTTTTTACTATTTCCTCTTACGATTGTGGATATTACTGTGAAAGAAATACCCTTTCAAAGATATGCTTTGTTAGTATCTACTTCTTAGCACAATCAGATGATAGTATAATTGATTAGCAAGTCATTTTTTTCTCAGGCATTTTGGGAGTACTAGAACATAAGTGGTTCTAAATGACAATGAATTAATAGTGACTTGAACATCATCTCTGGTTTTACTTTTTAAATTTTAGTGTATATTTTAGTTTCAGAAGTTTAACTTCCTGTTTTTTAAACCTCACGATGGGGCCTTTTTCCTTTTTGAAATTGGAGCTCCACTTTGTTTCCCTTTATCTTTCGCTTTTCCTTCAATCTGTTCCCAGTGTAGAATGCTGTTTACCTGAGTGCTCTGAGTCCTTTGCCTGCCTTTTCAGTGCAAACTGTCAGATGAAAGGATGCATTGTAGATTGCTTGGCTCTGCATACGTGTCCTTCTGTCCTTCGCAAGTAAGGACCAGAATGTTATCTCCCTTGAGGCCCTCCCAAGTGCAGCACCCTGAACTTCCACACTCCCCCACAGCAAACCACCTCCTGCCTCAGGCCTTCCCTATGGCCCAGCCACTGGTGGCCTGGGGCAGGTTTCACTCACCTTTCCTTGGTTGGAAGGATCTCAGGTTTGTGCCTTCATTTCTGTTCTTAGCAGTGATTCTACTTCAGCCTACAGCTAGAAGGCATGCATGGAGGGAGACACTGCATGGTGTCTTCTAAGTGTTTTGGTACTTTACGAACATGAAATGTGGTAGCTTGAAAACTGCGTCATGTTTGGGCCATAGTCACCTGTAAGAAAAGTGGTTGATAAGCTAATAATTGAAGACATTAAACACTTCAATTTTTTTGAGAAATACTTTATACTTTTTTTAGAGCAGTTTCAGGTTCATGCTAGCGGAGAAGATACAGATATTTTCCACATACTCCTTTCCCACCTCTCAGGGATCCCTTCATTACTAACATCCTCCGCCAGAGTGGTACATTTGTCACAGATAATAAACATATATAGGCACATCATACTCTGAAAATCACTCTTTCTTTATGTCAGTTAACTCTTGGTGGTGTATAGTCTGTAGGTTTGGGCAGATTTATCATGACCTATCTGCCTTTAAAATATCACACAGAGTAGTGTCATTGCCCTAAAACAGCCTCTGTGCATTTATTTAATTTAAAATAACATTTCAGTTTTTCATCCTTTCAGTTCTATGATATTGTACAGAAAGAAGCCCATCATTCTCAAAGACCCTCAAAATATTAAAAATAGTGTTAGCGTATGATTCAACAATTGCAGTTCTTGATATATACCTAAGAAGTGAAACATTTGCACAAAAATGTTATAGAATCTTCACTCAAAAAAGGTAAGCAACCCAAATGTCCATTCAACAAATTGAGTTGGAGTTTATTTCAGAAGGATTCTGGTTATTGATAGGAGATGAGCTCCACTGATTTTTGGATAGACTCTCACTTTAAAGTAGAATAGAAAATGTAGAAACTTGGTTTAAAAGCTTTCAGGTCCTAAATTTTTCTTTCAGAGTTGAAGAAATTTCCAGCATGGTCAGTAAAATGAGGCTTGAATAAAA